TAGCGGCAGCCTCTAAGCGTGACTTCTTCCTCAGTGACAAAGCCAAGCGTTTCTCCAAGGGAAGGAGTCAAGGGCAAAACGCTTTCCTGTCCCTTGCGCCGCTCGAGATGGACTGCTGCAGCCCTCTCTGTGCTGCAGCACCGTCATGCCCAGACAGCAGGAGCATCCCCAGCTGCCTGGGCTGGGCTCATCCTCACAGAGGTCTTTCCAGCTGGAGGAAATCAGGTCTGGGTGCCCCATACCTGTAGCTTTCATTACTGCAAAATTTCTCCCAGCTGCTTAACATGCTGTCACCACCTGAAAGCCCCCGCCGCGGCAGGAGGCGAAAGCGATGCTCGGAGAGCGACGGGGCTGGTTACGGTCTCCGGGCTGAGCTGTGACATGGCTGACATGGCACCCTCCTCTCGCGCTGGGAAATCCAGCGAGAAAAAAAAGTCAGCCCTTGGAAGCCCATCCGAGGTTGCTAAGTGACAGCAGCGCTTGTTTGCATCCCCTCCTTCACAGTGTGACTGCGCTTAAAAGCAAGGAAAGGACGTAAACATAAGCACATTACCAAAACACTCAACAGAAACACAGTTGCCAAACGTACACCTTATCTACATGTTTTGGCTGCCCCGAGCCGAGAAGATTACTGCACATCAAACGTGCATCCAGCCTTAGAGGGTTTTACCTGCCCAGGAGAATTTCAGGTATTTGCAGCACTCATTGATTTGCCAATTTTCCCGCTGAAACGTGTTTCCAGACCAAGACTGTAGGGCCGACAGCAACTGCAAGGACAGCTGCAACGAACAGAGATTTCATCGGTACTTTGTTTCTAAGAGATGTCTTTTGTTCTTCCAACAGGATGTGGCATTACGCAGCAATTAGAAACGCAGAACTGGACAAGGGAGGGATGAACGCGCCCTTTGTATGAGCTACTGGGGAAGAAATGAAGTGGTTTAGATAAAACGGAGGCCGTGCACGCAAACCCCCCTCAGCAGAGTTACGTCGAGAATCGAAGAATTAAGTTAAAAAGAGATTAGATGCAGCAATCCAACTGAGAAAGCTGCCCTTGCCGAGCCAGGCTGGATAATAAACGGCCTTAAACAGAAGGTGCCTGTCGCAGAGGAGGTCTGGAAACTAGGTGCATGGGGGCAACCAGACCGGAGGCAGCTCGAGCTCCGGCCTCGGCTCTCCCGCGGCGCTAAAGCGGCCCTAGCTCACCTGGAGCAAGCAGGCCAGCCCCGGACCTGAGCTCCCAAGCGCCTGGGAAAGATCAAAAGCACAAAAGAAAAAAGCATCTGCTCCCTCTGCTTAGAAGCAGGCCAGGTGAAGGAGAAAGCGGGGCACAAACTCGGCCCTTTCCGTGAAGGAGAATAACGAGAAGCGGACGGGGGACCTGAACAGGGCGGTTCGCAAAACCGATCCCCGTGTCGAACTCAAACTGTGATACGGCAGTAACTTCTGACCCGGCGTCGGACTGGCTGCGAGCGCAGCTGCAACCGTGCCTCCCGAGCAAAACCAGCCTCGGG